GGTTTCCCTCCTGAGCGTTGGTACTGAGGAGGAAAGAGTTAAAGATGAACCCAGAGATGATCAGGATTCTTTTCTTTACTTTTTGTTCATCTTATTTCCCTGGCTTCTCTGTTTCCTCACACACACACACACACACACACACACACACACACACACACACAGTTTCATGTCTTGTATTTGATTACACCTTGAACATAAGGTGTTTATCAGCAGCAGATCAAAGTCAGTGGTATTTCCTCGTCCGCGGGACAATAACGTCTTTTGTTCGTCTACGCACGCATGACCCAGTGAGGACGAACAGGACTCTGCTGTGGGGGGGGGTGGGGGGTCAATGTCACCCCCCCACTCCAGTCAAATCAGGGCACTTCAATTACACATTTAATCAGACTGGTTTTACAAACCAGGAATCTGTGGTGGCCAATCAGAAGAGCCGCCTCCACAACAAACAACAACAACCACTAAAGTCAACACCTGCTGCTGCTGCTGCTGGTGGTTCTGGTTCTGGTGCTGAGTGTTTCAGATTAGTTCAGTGTCGCAGTAGCTCCAGATTTATGATTTATGATAACGATTGCCCTTGAACGGAGGCAGGTGTAGGTAGTGATACCCCCGCCCTGACTCCTCTGTGACTCCATCGTGTAACTCTGTACGGACGGAGTTAATGTGGCTTCTCATCAGATCCTGTCATCAGATCTTTATTTGTTATTCAACTCCTGGTATGTGTCCCATCTGGTTCACGCACCATAAAGTAGGTCATGTCAGCACTGCAGGCTGTGTGGACAGGTGTGTTTGCGCTGCGGCTGTATACTGTCCACCCCACACAGGGGCAACAACACCATATACTGCAGGACTACAGTCAATGCCCCTGTCTCACCCCTCTGCCCCTCTTCTGCCCCCCTGTATCAGAGGAGCCTGGTTTCTGCTCTGCTGACCAGCAGCTTCCACTGGTCCATAATCTCCATCGATCCCTCCGTCAGCACACTGCCCTCCTCCACCCCCCTCCTCCTCCTCTACCCCCCCCCTTCAGTTTTGGTCCTTTCACGTTGACCTACTTTCTCTCTGACCTGGTTATGAAGCTGTGCTGCAGCAGCAGAAATGTCCACAGTGTCACCTTGGTCTGATCCCAGAGGTCACTGAGGGGTCACTGAGAGGTCACTGAGAGGTCACTGAGAGGAACAACATGTCTGTAATCTGACATGTCAAATCTAATATTCTGCTGGAAAACAATGAGGTTTTTATGTCCCTGCGTCGTGTGTACAGTACACAGATGTGTGTGTGTGTGTGTGTGAAGGGCAGAGAGGTGTGTCTCTCAAAGAGATGCTTTGTTTGCAGCTTTAGATCAAGTTAGAGCTGAGTGAACCCCCCCCCCCTTCACTGCTCCCCCCTTTTCCGTTAATGTTGTTTCAGTCTTGACCCAGTTTTGACTCATGGACAAAAGAAGGAACACGAAGATGAAAACAGAGATAATTTAACTGGAGTTTATAACTTACTGCTGCATGTTGTATCATTTATATATTTATATGTATATATTTAAAGCTGTTTCATCATTTTTGATCTAATGGACGTTTTTATTGTCGTTGGTGAAACTGTGTAGAGACGAGGTGCGATGGTAGAAGTTGGCCACTGGTCCATCAGACCAACCTCACCTGGTCTGTGGTCCACGGTGTTGAAAGAACAGACAAACAGCAGGTGTTTTTTTCATGATATGTCAAAGGTCAACATTCTTATTTATTTATTTTTTTCTCAACGCCCCGTTCTTCCACAGTGAACATTAGTGTCTTTACACACGTGTTGATGTAAAAAGGAAGTGATGTCATCAACCGCTGTCCAATGACAGCAGTCCAACCACGGCCTCTCCACCTCACGCTCTCGTCTGGGCCGTGGTTTTTATATTTTCATAATGACATCAGCAAAACCACAAACATTACTGATTGATACACACTGAAGAAGGGGGGAGGGACGGGGGAGGGACAGGGGGAGGGACGGGGGAGGAACGAGGCAAATACATGTCATCACAGTCGCTATGGGGGAGAGAGG